TCGTTTATTACGTACCTGTTTATGTCCGTCTTCACTACTGCGAGGTTTCTTATTTCAAAGTTCTATTCCATTTAAAGGAAATCCTTAGCAAGGAAAATAAAAGTTACTTACAATGTAGCTTCTTCAAACAGATTTTTTTTTCCAATTCCTAACCAAGGATTGAAAATGTGGATGAGAGGTGCTCGCCAGAGCGGATGCGTTGACTTCGGGTACTCCGAGTGGAACACTCAGCGGTCCTCCACAACCTCCCAAAAGTCAATATTATTCACGATTCATAAATACGGCTCAACTCGTAAAAATACTCAGCGATGCTACACAACAAAACGTCTAATAAGATATATTTAGTAGCACGTTTACGTGAAACGTGAACGGCAAGAGTGACCACGAGACCACGAGACCACGTTTTTCCCGCCACCTTCTCACGTTTGCCGGTTGCGCTTTGCCGTTTGTAAATGAAAGTAACCTGTTTCGCGTTTGCCGTGTACGTGAGATTTTCTACACTTTTCCTCACTCAGAGTAGAAGTTAATTGCCGGAAAAAATGGCACCAGAACTTTTCCTTGTAAGTCATACAAGGGCGCCTTCAACTCCACCATGACGTGAACTTACGCGAAGCTGAGGCAGTAAGGTTCTAGCTAATTTACGTTAAACATGAAAGGGAAAACTGACGTTTGCCGTTTCACGTAAACGCGGCGCTAAATCTCTAATCTCTTTTTTTTGTTTTGTTTTCATCACTGATATTTTTTACTCGCGCGACGGACTGCGCCGAAAAAGAGGGACTGCTCGTAGCCCAATATTTTCCGTGTAGATGCTTAGAGATTCGCGCGTTTTCCCAAACCTGAAGTATGCGATATTTGTATTTTTTTTAGACATAAGCAAAAGCTATCTCACGAAGGAGGTTTCACCTGTACCCCAGACTATTACCCCACCTTCTCAGCTACGGCCGACTGTCTTTTCGTTCCTCTGGTTTGTTAGTCTTGGAATGTTACTTATCAATTTTACGATTTTTCTGTTAGTTGATCTTTTATTAACCTGGATCCGCTCAAGAAACTGAAGGGATCACAGGCCGAAAATGTGGTCTGTATCAGTTGTAAGAGCGCATTTCGACTGTCGTTAATCTAATCCAAGGGATTTACAACTTTCATTAAGAAGTGAAGAGGTCATAAGGAATCACTCAGAGTTAAAACGCGTGACACGCTTGACGCGCGAGAAAACGCATGCGACTGGGTTTACTTTTAATTTTGAAGGGGAGGGGAATGGAAACTACTAAATCCCCCTCCTGCAGCCCTCCCCCCCACCTCTACCAGTTTTTCTCATTTCCTTACTCCCCTAATGCTCTCCTCGACCTTTCCAACCCAATATGGCGGCTACTACAGGGTGTAATTTTTTTTCGCTTACAAGGCGAGCGTAAG